CTAGAACGTTCAGCTTCGCGTTCCCTCCTATATTCTCTCCTCTCGCTTTTTCTTTCTCTCTTCTTCTCTCTCTCCTCTCTCTCTCTCTCTCTCTCTCTCTCCTCTCTTTATCTCTCTCCTTCTCTCCCTTCCTCTTCTCTATTTGTATTTCTCTCTCTCTCTTCTCTCTTTTCTCTCTCTCTCTCTTTTTCTTTCTTCTCTCGCTCTTCTCGCTTCTCTCTTCTCTTCTCTTTCTCTCTAAGCTCTCCTCTTTCTCTCTCGCTCTCTATCTCTCTCTCTCTCTTTGCTCTCGTTCTCTCTTCTCTCTTTTCTCGCTCTCTCTCTTCTTCTTCTCCTTCTTTCTCTCTCTTCTCTCTCTCTCTTTTCTCTTTCTCTTTCTCTCTCTCTCTCTCTCTCTCTTTCTCTTTCTCTCTCTTTCTCTCTCTTTTCTCTCTCTTTCTCTCTCTTTCTCTCTCTTTCTCTCTCTCTCTCTCTCTCTTCTCTCTCTTCTCTCTCTCTCTGTCGTCGTCTCGCTCTCTCTCTCTCTCTTTTTTCTCTTTTCTCTTTATCTCTCTCTCTTTCTCTTTCTCTCGTTCTCTCTCTCTCGTCTTTCTCCTTTCTTTCTCGCCTCTCTTTGGCCTCTCCTCTTTCTCTCTATCTCTCTCTTTCCTCTTCTCTTTCTCTCTCTCTCTCTCTTCTCTCTCTCTCTCTCACTCTCTCTCTCTCCTCTCTCTCTTTTCTCTCTCCTCTCTTCTCCTTTTTCTTGCTGCTCTCTCTCTTCTTCTCTCTCTCTCTCTCGTCTCTATCTCTCTCTTACTCTCCTCGCTCTCTATCTTCTCTAGCTTTCTATTTCTTCTTGCTCTCTTTCTTCTTTCTTCTCTCTCTCTCTCTCTCTCTTTTTCTCTCTCTCTCCTCTCTGTTTCTCTCTTCTCTCTCTCTCTCTTTCTCTCTCTTTCTCTCTCTTTCTTTCTTGCTCTTTCTCTCTCTCTCTCTCTCTCTCTCTCTTTTCTGTCCGCCCTCTCTTCTCTCTTCTCTCTCTCTCTCTCCTTTCTCTCTTTCTTCTTTCTCTCTGTCTCTCTTGCTCTCTCTCTCCTTTCTCTTTTCTCTCTCTTCTCTTCTCTCTTTCTTTCGCTCTCTTTCTCTCTTTCTCGCTCTCTTCTCTCTTTTTTCTCTCTATCTCTCTCTTTCTCTCTCTCTCTCTCTCTTCTCTCTTTCTTTACTCTATCTCTCTCTTTCTCTCTTCTTCTCTCTCTCGTCTCTCTCTCTCTCTCTCTCTCTCTCATTTCACTCTTTCTCTCTCACTCCTCTCTCTCCTCTCTCTCTCTCTCTCTCTCTCTCTCTTTCTCTCTTTTCTCGCTCTGCTCTCTCTGCCTCTTTCTCTCTATCTCTGCTCTCTTTCTCTCTCGTTCTCTCCCTCTCTCTCCCTCTCTCTCTCTTTCTCTCTCTCTTCTCTCTTTTTCTCGCTTCTCTCTCTTTCCTTCTCTCTCTCTCATATCTCTTCTCTTACTCTCTTCGCTCTTCTATCTCTCTTCGCTTTCTATTTCTCTCTTGCTCTCTCCTCTCTCTTTCTCTCTCTCTTCTCTTCTCTCTCTCTCTCTCTCTCTCTCTCTTTCTTCCACTCTTTTCTCTCTGCTCTTCTCTCTCTCCTCTCTTCTCTCCTCTCTCTCTCTTTCTCCCCTTTCTCTCTCTTTTCTTTCTCTCTTCTCTCTCTCTCTCTCTCTCTCTCTCTCTTCTGGTTCCTTCGTGCTCCGTCTGCTCTCTCTCTCTCTCTCTTCTCTACTCTTCTCTGCTATCTCTTTCTGTCCGTCTCTCTCTCTCTCTCTCTCTTCTTTCTCTCTCTTTCTTCTCTCTTTATCTGCTCTTATCTCTTCTTCTCTTTCCTCTTTCTCGCTCCTCTCTTTTTCTCGTCGCTCTCTTCTCTCTCTCTCTCTTTTTTCTCGCTCTCTCTCTCCTCTCTCTTCTCTCTCTCTCTCTTCCTCTTTCTCTCTTTTTCTATATCTCTCTCTCTCTCTCTCTTTCTCTCTCTCTCTTCTCTCTTCTCGTTCTCTCTCTTCTCTCCCCTCTCTCCTCTCTCTCTTTCCTCCTCTCTCTCTCTCTTCTCTCTCTTTCTCCCACTCTCTCTCCCTCTCTCTCTCTCACATAATCTTACGCGGTGATGTAAGCGACCGACCGATTTTTCGCCGTTTTCGTCCGAGACGGCTAACGCTCCATTAGTGAAGCGTTCCCAACTTTAATGTCATTTTATATCGTATTATAAAAGAGATATAAGAGGGGGTGGTGGATTGATGATCAATTAGATATCAAAGGGGCGGGGGGGGTGGTAGATATGAAAATTAGATATCAAGGGTCGGAGTGCATCGATATCAATTAAGTGATATCAAGGGGAGCGGGGAGGGTTTAGATATGAAATAGATATTTCAAGGGGGGCTGGTATATAGGTATATAGAGGGAGCAAGAATTTTGAGACTGGGGGCGGTATGCTTCCGGCTTCGTTTCGCTGGACTTCGTTTGCGCGAGGCTAATGCGAAATTACACAAAGCGGGGGCCATGTTCGCTTCGTTGCGCTGGACTGTTCGTTGCTCGGAGCACAAAGTGAAATACACGAGCCGGGCCATGTTCGCTTCGTTTCGCTGGACTTCATTGCTCGAGAACCGCAAAGGAGAGATTTCTGGCATCGGTGGCGGAGTATTATCAATTAGCAGTCGCTCGTTCCATGCTCCGTGTACGAGCGGCGGCATCGGACCCCGTCTTAAAATAGGCTGGCTTTTAATAGTATAAGTTACACACACACACACACACACACACACGCGCGCGTGTGCCCACACATTTCGCTGCGCGGTGGCGGATTCGCGGGGGCTGTGCCCACATTGACGTAGGATTCCCCCTGACTGTGTTGACTCCACGTCACGTAACGTTGGAGATGGAGAAGGAGAAGCAGAAACGAGGCGGGGAGAAAACACGAAAGAGAGAGTTTTTTTTTACGCGATGATTCCAGAATGCCGCGAAGCAATTATATAATTAAGAGAGCCGGAAAAAAAGAGTTAGTGGTTTAATACTAGATTCTGAATGTTTCTGGTACGAGCTTCTGACTGGTGGAAAAGCTTACTAAGAGCATTGTGGCATAAGGTCGTTGAATCCTCACGTACTGACACTCAGTTTGCTTAATTGTGACCTAGGAGTTAAAAAGAAATGCGCATGAGCAATGGCCTTATCAACGTTCACGGAAGCAACACTTATTAGCTATGCTGTCTTCTATTTATTACGACTCTTGTGGCTTTAGTTATTTTTTGTTTAAGTGGATACCATTGAAGTGTATGACCGTATACTCTAACATGCGCTGCGTGAGTGATTTAAGCGATTGATCGAAAGACCACGCTGTTTTTCAATACACGACTCTTGGGGTTTTAGGTATTTCATGTTTAAGTGAGCACCAGTGAGTGTATGTCGGTTTTCTAACATGCGCTGTATGAGTGATTTTCATCTTCCGTAATTTTCCTCTTCCTTCTGTTCTCCTAGTTAGTGTTGAAATTCTAACTTAACCCCCCTCCCCCCCCTCCTTAGCTTGGTGTTAACCTTTCTAACATGGGTGCTACCTCACAAACACACGCGCGATTCTGATTCTGTTGCACCACAAAATGGCAGGCAGTTTGTTCAGAGTGTAGTTTATAAACCTACGTCTACATGCGTGACATAAGGATGTATAAATAAGGTAAGTAAACGCGTGAATATGTTTTACTTCTTAGTATTATTGTGTATGTATGTACGTATGTAGTATTATATTAATTAAATCTAATGAAACGGATGCATGAGTAAACTAACGGGTGATAATTGCTGGAATTATGACATTTGCTAACAATAATTAATGCATAATTATGTTTATTATTAATTATAATGTAACGTTTATATAATTATTATATTAACATTATAATTTGGGCAATAATTAAAGCCTGTATTCATCTTTAGTACCTAGAATATTATCTAGTTTTAAATCCTTTTCAATGATATCGAAAAAAACTACTATAAAATAATATTTCAATCTGTAAAAATGGCGTTGTCATATGTTTGTCATTTGTTTATATTTTCTCGTCGGTACACCAACATATGTTTATAATAAGTAGGGACCTAATAGTACCGAGAGAAAACAGGTAACTGTATGGCTGACTAGATGTCTCTTAATCCCGTGGTAGGTTTTTTCATGGGACAATATATTGTTCTCTTTTCCGCTCTCTTGCTTGCTTTCTCAAGCAATCAGTCGATCTAATTTTTTAACTTTTATTTTATCTGCATATCGATCTATCTATTTATCTATCTATCTATCTATCTATCTATCTATCTATCTATCTATCTATCTATCTATCTATCTATCTATCTATCTATCTATCGCTTACCGCTCTATTTATATAGCCGTCGGCTCCGTGTAAGGCTTTCCGCTTACTCTTGCTCCTCCCGCCTCGCAAACAGGAATTAATACTACACCGTACGATGTCTGGGGCCCGGCCGCTCTAAATAAACGCTTGAGAAGCTGGCGGAGGTGTGGATAAATATGGCGGCCACACATATACACGAGACGTCGGGGGAGAAAGTTGACGGCAACCAGGACAGGCAGCGTGGTCGCCCGCTCTGACGTCATTCATTGCTATGCTGTTCGTTTGTGATTATTATTTATTATTTGTAATTAACCCCTTACTTCATTGATTAGTCGATGCAATCTAATTTAGACTTGGACAAGATAGACGGCGGATGCTACTAAGTTTATGAAAGTATATTTCTATCACACAACACACACACACACACACACCACACACACACACACACACACACACACACACACACACACACACACACACACACACACACACATGTATATATAATAGTATTATATCCCATGACTGCAGATAAATGGAATGACAAGTTTGAACGAATAAAATTGCATTGGTTATAAAGGATGCGTTCCGATCCGTTCCGATCATTTTTTTATATTGAAATGAAATTATTCAATTTTACTCTCACTAGTCGGCAATTATTCAATTAGCTACATCCTCATTTTCATGACAGGGAAAGAGAGAGCGCGCGCGAGAGAGAAAGAGAGAGAAGAGAGAGATTAGTGCAGAGAGAGAGAGAGCGAAGACGAGAGGAGAGTCAAGAGAGAGAGCGAGGCGAGAGAGACGAGCAT